TAATTGTAGTATATATTTCGAAAAGATATGGTTCGGGGGCGTTGACTTTCGATCTGTTTTTTTCGGAGTACCGAAATTTTTTCGCCTAGGAATTGCCTAACCTCAGGTGTTACGTCATATGTGAGGTGCTGGGCACGGTGAACTAACGCGAGCGACGATCACTAATATGCGACGCCGATAAAACTAGTGCCAGCGCTTCAACCACTTAGCCACTGCGCCCCATCTGACTATTGTATTTAAGCTCAGGTGTTGCTCTCTCTCATTCTTTCTAAAACCGCAGCATGACAACACATATCGGTATCGTGGTGTCACACATTTTGTTTCCCTAATAATTATTATTGATTCATGGGATCCAAAGAAACCTAAAAATCGTCACAGTGACGGTTATAAACGATAACGAGGAATTTTCGATATCGGATTGCCAGTAATCTTCTAATCTGTTATTCTTAGGGTAGATTTGGATAGGTTAAAGGTAACATAAATTCCTTTAAGCTCCATTTTTTCAAAATAATGATAACAGCCGTAAATTCAAGATAAACAAAAATCTAACATACAATCTAAAATCGCAGCATGACACCACATATCGGTATCACGATGTCACACTTTACTTCGCTATTAATTATTTTTGATTCATGGAATTCAAATAAATCTAAAATTGTTAATGGCGACGGTTATGTATAACAAAGGCAAAATATAGTTTATCTTTATGTTGGGTCTCTAGTATTATACGGTTAGGCTATTACAGTGTAAATAAGAAGGTGGGTCAATAACCTATTTTATCCTAACCTCAGATAAACAGAATGACAGAAAAAAGACCAGAAAATTAGTTGTTGGGCGATAACGATATAATACTCAAATCCAGTGATTTTCAGCCAAAATACTGGTGTTCCGTGGGAGACCTACAGATGTTTCGCGACGCATTGCTGTTTCACTCATTTTGATTGACATATTGTATGGTATTAAACCATACAAACTAAAATATATTCGAAACGAAATACTGACGACTTTGGGCGAAATTTTGTAATATAAAACGTCTTCCACGCTTCAAAAAAGTTTGAAAATCAATGCTCTAAGCAACTTATCCTAACCTAGCATAAGATAAATAAATAAAGTGATGGTGAAGCAATAACACAATATTCATAACCAAAATTTTTTAACGTATCGCAGAATCTCTACCAACCACATAGATATTTCTAGATTCATCATGTAACACGATATGATTTCTTACGCAGTTTAAAACCTTTCAGTAGTTTATATTTTTAGAGATTGAATCATCAGTCACAGAACATGAAATTCTAGACGTGATTTTAATCTGTGGACGTGATTGCGTTTTGCCACGAACTCTCAAGGCTGCGGAGTAAAGAGTTACGGCGGTTGGCGCATTGTGCTGAGCGTTAGGGACACATTTGTCATCACGGACACGAATCCAGTGGTGGATAATATGTGCGAGAGGATTGCCTGAAACGTTGCCGTCGTAGGGTAGCTTACGTAACCACTATTAGGTTACGGTTTCCTCCACCATCAAGTCCATGTATTTAAAACAAATTACTGGCTAACCGACATTGACTAGTAACCGGGCGGGTCGTGGTTCTCCATATGATTAAGCCGTCTTACCGACTTTACTCAACACTAGGGTTAATATGAAAAAATGCTGCCTATTTTATTTGCCAATACTTTTATAATCTTTCCAACATAGAAAGCCTGAGTATCAATGTATGTTTTTCTGAACATTAACTTCCTTTTTCATTTCCTCAACAATGGCAGAAAGTTGAAGGTGACCTCACAACTAAAGTTTATCCTACCGCGCAGACGCAATTTATTTACCTCCACGAATTCCCGAGCATTTGCATATTCTGGGGTTTTCGGGTTTGTTTGTTCCTTTTCAGTTGTGTTTTCGAAATTTAGGTATAAATTTTATAAACAGTGGATATTATTTCAGTTCAAAGTTTAGTTCGAATTTTAGTCAAATATAAAAATGGTCTCAAAAAGCTAGGCTAAGTTATTGGCAGTACTTTTAAATACTATACGCATGCTTAATACAAAGGTAATAGTTATTTTAATGTAGTAAAAACGTTTGAACAAGCGAATAAATCAGTTCACATTATGAACAACGACGAGAAGTACAACAACTTCAGTTAAAAATATTCTCTCCGTTTCATTCCGTCGGTTAAAAATATTCATTCCGTATTTTTTTCCAACTGTACCGAATATATAAAGAATACATTATTCAATTATTGCTACAGAAACAAAAAATGTTCTCAGATGGTTGGGCTATACAAAATGTAAAAACTTCCATGATTACAAAAATCTGGTAGTCAGAAAAATTCAGTTGCCGAAGCGACGCCTCATAAAACTATGGTAAACTGAATAAGCCAAATAAATCTCGTTGACAGTCGGTGAGTTACTTAGAATACTTGACTGTAATTATGTCGTCATAAAACCAACAACGTGAGAGAATGTGACACTCAATTACACTTTATTATTGCATAATTACTGTCAAGTATTCAGTAATCGGTCACAATACACTGTCTCACTTGCCGTAAATCTGCGCTAAGTACACAATAGCCAAGAAAATTGCTTTAAATTGACCTTTTCTATGAAATAAAGGAAGCCTTAAAGTGTTATAGTACTAAGAATGGAAAGTGCTTCAAATCGGAAAAAGTTTAATGACAATAATACAATTTGAAATCGTAGCTTCGACACGTTAAAAAATAAGTTGGAAAATAGAGGAAGTTTATTCTAATGACATCCATTTCATGCTTAATGTATTTCATACATCTGTGTCCGGAGTCTTTTTAATTTAGAAGGGGTCACAAACAGTAACTTCTAACCCCTTGAGATCCACTTAAAAAAGAATCTACTCTAGTGACTCTACTCTTTGACTCTAGTGTTTTTTTAAATACCCCTGCTTCATGAAGACCCCTTTAAATGTTTTTGAGGGGCTGTTCTCAGCCAATGAGTACGATGTACCTCAACTTAATACAATTCAAACAAAATTTCAAATTTATTCTTATTTCAATTGCGCATTTGATCCCGCAGGTCACACCTGGTACTATTTGACAGAAAACATTATTTTAGTTACTCTCTGGTATTTTATACCAAATTTTTAAAATATACCACCATGGGTTTCCCCGATTTACTGAAAACGTTTTCCGCCCCTCCAGAATGACAGAATCTGAAAAGGAGGTCAAAAAAGAAATGGAATCGAGCTTATGTGGCCTCCATAACGACTCTAAAAATGCAGTGTTTGACTAATATGTGAGTAGTTGGCCACCCATGACATACTAGAGTCATGCGGATCTATAGATATCGGCCATTTTGTCGGCTAAACATAGACCGATATTTTCAGCTTTTTGACTTCATCAATATCGGGGGTATGTAACATTTTCGACGGTGGGCCATATACCCAACTCCAGAATCTAGCTGAGCCACACAAAAAATTTAGCGGGAAAGGCAAGATAATGCGGCTTTTGCTTAGCCTTGCAGTAATACACGCAACGGGAAAAACAACAAAAGATTTTTTACACAGCGACAAGACTAAAAAATTATATAAATTTTTATCCACGGGAGTGCCTTTTCAAGCATAAACCTGTCGAAATAAGGATTTTATGCCTAATGGGAATAATTTCAGGAATTGACAAGGGCCACACTCAATGACTTGGCGGGCCGGGTGGTGGTCCGTGGACTGCCTGTTGCACACCCCTGATCCGGAATGTTTGGAAGTATGAGTTCGTATACGTGAAAGGATCAAGTACGCGGTATTCACTGCATTATTAATTAAACTTTTTACATTACATTCAGTGAGTTATTGTCCCCAAATAAATGAACTTATATGTGTTTCACTATGCACGGTGGCCGTCCCGCTATGAGTTTTCTAAATCGAGCACGGAGCCATTTATTATGTCGTGATTACGCAAGTCATTTCTATCATTGAGTTTAATTACCACAACAAAATTTCTGGAGGCATTTAAACAGGTACAGATAAGTATGAGAGTATTTCTTGATGTTTTGCACTTTATTCAAGGTTTGTCTGACTTTTTTTGATATTCCGAATCATACGATATAGTTCTTTCTCATGTCTTTTATTCATACTAGTTTCACTTTGATCAGCTCGCAGTTTCACAACATAGTAGAAAATGTGTTTTTGCGTTTACTAGTCACGTACTTGACACATTCGAATCGAGAGTTACTCTATTACTCCGATATGCCGAATCCGATGAGTATCGGACTTATTGTAAACCAGGGTTTTGTCAAATTGGGCCGCCAACCCTCGGTGTTTCTATTTTGAAGAACAGGCGGCCATGATATGTTCATATTTTTTTGGAAGTGAACAGCGAATCATCACACTTCCCTGGAAGCGACCTTCGGCTACAAAAAACAGCGAGCGACGTCTGTTGCCGAAGATAACCACATGGCTCTCGACGCCACCTTGCGTGAAGTTCGTTATTCAATATTGCAAATTTTGTATGCAAGGTACCGGTATTTAGAATCCAGTACTAGCATACAGCAGATCTGTCAGTTGCTACCTATCCGGTGCATACATTCATGTATTTTAGGCCCAGACTCGAACTCGAGGTGAAAGTCACATAAAGGAATTACAAACTGTACTGTGGAGTTCACAAAGATCCTATTCGAGCCATGTAAAATACCGTACGATTTGAATTTCCGACCCTAGACTGGACCGAATCTAGCCAAAAAAAATGAAAATTCTAACAAAACCGTCCAGTAGAAAAAAATGGCACATTCAACGTAACTTTACAAGCTATAAATTTATATGGTATGTTATATTATATCCAGTGATTTCAATAAGGCGACTATTTAGTATTCTCCCACCTAGACAATGAATTTTATGTCCTAATTTAATTTTCATTAGACTAAATATTCCAATTGAACAAATATTTTTGTATATTCTGCTACTTACTCACTGAAACTGATGCTCCAACGATCAAAATTGTCAAAAATAAGCAATATAGCATGCAAACATAGGCAAACAAACATACCCCTTGTAATGAAAGCTGGCTTCTCAGATGTTATCCCTCCTTTTGAGGACAGATGTTGAAGATGAGCGACTTTTGTTGTTGAGTCAGCGAAACAGGAGACAGTTATTCCTCGGGTTTGAAGATATTAGTTGGAGATAGTGTCCCTGTTTCTGGAGGCTTCAGTTGTTTTTCAGCGAAAGAGGAGACAGTTATTCCTATTGTTGTTCAATTGGTATCAAAACGAATCCCGTTTTAAGGTGATTCGCAATCCAATCATTAGTTAGCGTTGAAAATTCAGAAGATTCTGTTACACAGATACACTGAAAAGAAATTGATATTATTATTAAAAGGAATATACTGTAAAGTAGTTTAAAATGAGGATTTTGTAGGAGAAATGACCAAAGTGGAAAATGCGGAATTACGATTTGGTAATGTAAGATCAGTATTCAGGAGTGAAACCACGGCAGTCTTGTAATTCCCAGTTTGATGCAGAAAAAAGGTTTTATAGAAGTTTATTAAAATCCATTTAATGGATGCACGGAAAATGGACAGATATATTTGTTTAAAAATTAAATCAAAAAAGATGATGAATATGAGCATAATGGTATATATATATATAAGGAGAATATTACCATCGAAAACTAAAATTGAATACACATTATGTTGGAAAGATATGCAAATTGAAATTAGGAAGGTGATATATGGGCAAATAAACAGCTTGAAAGAGCATGGCTGAACAAAATAGCAGGTTAAAAACAGAGAAAAGTCGTAACTGACTGATATTTCAAAGCAGCCATCTTTAAACGTTTACTGGATATAGTAAAGACCCAGCAGGACATAATCTTTTGCCACTGTTTCCCAAAAACAAACTCGAGAAAAAAATTAACGCCCATTCAAGTCGAATCCAAAATTATTTTTCAATCGAGAAGAATTTTCATATTTGGGATTAGACTTAAAATAAGTCAATAAGTTCATTCGATTATGGGAACAAAATTAGTTTGAAAATGATTTATTTCTACTGAAGAAAATTGGTGAAAGAATTGCTGTTCTTTTCGCTAGTTTACAACGCCATCTCCCGCACAACACGGCGACATAGTCCACACCAATAAAAGCAACATTAAATAGAGTATATATAGGACGCTGAACGGCTGAAGCACTTTCTAAGTATTCGATCGCTAGGATTAACAGGCAATAAAAGAAGTTTAACCGTCTGATTTTTGAGCAATAAAAGAGGTTTGTTTTTGATTTTCATAGCACTTTATATACAGTTCAAATCGCTTTACTCTCAATGACTATCAAAATATTATAACATGATTTATCGTAAAAAAAACTGTTAGTTCTAAAATAAGTATCCGCGAGTACAAATTTTAACATTCAATCACTTCGGCAACTCCTTCAGAACGAAAGATTGCCTTTAATTACGGAAAATTCTACAAAGCTAGCATATCATATGAGCCATTCCAAGCAATAGTTGGATTCCATCAATTTTTTAAAAAGTGTAGTGAAAGTAATTTTTTTTTATTTTTGATGTTAAAAGACATTGGTTTAAATGTTTGCAGTGCTGTAGGACATTTCTTCACCCATTTAACAATTTATTACCAGAATTTTAAGAGATGATAGAGGCCGCTATTCCGAAGTGGAAAAATGTCCTGTAGTGTCACGTCCTGTAGTGTCACATACAATATGCACATTCTTGGCATGAATTTACAGTGTTACATTAAGTAACTTGAGCAACACATAGAGGGGTAGTTCAGCTACTGCACCAGAAAATATCATGGGCTCCTACTGTACCATCGCAAAAATTTAGAGCACAACACAACGTACTATTAGTGCATGGTGGATTTGCCGTCCTGTAGTATCACGCTATATTTTACTATATTTTTTTTTATCTACTAAGTAAGTCTTGGGTGTAACTTTTGTGCAATTTTTTACATATTCAATAAAGCAACTGATTGGACAATGAAACAAAACATGTAGCTGAAAATGTGAAAATATATTGCATCGACCAAAAACATGCAAAATTTCTGGAATTGTACTGTAGTGTCACTTGGAATAGCCCATATGAGCTTATCACCCATTCAAAAACCATTACACGTTACGTTTCTATCTGACTTCTAGTCGCATTGCTTTAAATTTAGTTTGTCGATAATGATTTAGTATTAGAAATGGCATTCTAGCATTACAAGCAAAATCACAGCTGAAACAACTGGTGGTAAGTAAAGGCAAACGTTTTAACTGACGTTTTAAATCACGAGAGTTACCATTTGCTATACAAGACCCACTTGATACCCACGTTAAAAATAATAAACTAGACAAATAAAGACATTGCAAACAATATATATATATATATATATATATACCCGAACCAAAAGGAGAAATGCAAACGACATGAGTGTTGCCTATGTTTCGAATATCTATGTACATATATAATATGATAAACTCGGAAGCCATCACTCATTATTCAAGCCCCGCTCGTAATGTTATCTATTGATTACATCACACTATAACTCAAAAATTGTGGCAGATTTTGTTTCGTGTTGACTAGTCTTTAAAATTATTCATCTCATTCAAGCTATAACAAGTATTTTTATTTTTAGTCACAGAGAAATCTACGAGAAGTTGAAAAATACGAAACTATCTATAACATCAATGAAAACACTCTGAACTTCTGGTCAAAATCAGAACTCTCGACTAACCTATCATGTAACCTAACATATCAGAGGAGACTATGTCACATCCAACAAACGATACGCGTTGTGTTTCCTGTCAGACTGCCAATCACATTGCTTCAAATCAAGTTTGCCAACATTAATAACACAAAGATAAAATATCTAATCCCGTACCTAGTCATCGATTCTTTAAAGATATAGAATTAATTCAGATTTCCCCACAAATCCTCTCATTTCTAAAACGTACACATTAGTAACGTTCCCACGCATACTTCCCGTTTCAGCGTAAGAGAACGTAATAATTTGACCTGCGAGACAGATTTGCGAACTATAATTAATAGGTATAACGCATATAGGCTGTTATATCACATTATCTAATTCAAATTGGATTTTCCGGCTTTCTTTTTGTTTGTTCATTTTTGTCGCAATACTCGTTTACCTATGTTTGTGTATTTTGCACAATTTTTTGTACGTATTGGTGACCGGGCATGGTATTTATCATGTTTTGAACTTTTTAAACGCATTTTTTTTTTGCTCTCTAAAAATATACATTTTAGTTTGTGTGTATTATTGTAAGTTTTCGAAATTCTAGTTACTATCTATCTAAAAGACAATACTTGCTTAGCTTTTTTACCTAGAATGATGTCACTCAAAAAGTGCTATGACAACACAATTTTGTGGCTTGGCGTCATTACTTATCGATCTTAAGATCGGTAAGTATATTGATAGGTATTTGTCTGTATGTCTGTCTGTTAGATGCACGCGATATCTCACGAAAGCGAGATTGAATCTGCTCCAGATTTTGCATGTGCATTCATCTTATCTCGGACCAGAAGCCTATTGATTTTGGGCGAATTATGTCGTATAATTAGCGAGTTATCAATCAATTATTGATATAGTGATCTAGATTTTTGTAAAGCGAGAGAATTTTGAAACCCGCCGAGTGTGTGTGTGCGATGCGCAGTGCGCAAGTTACAAGAGCGGATGAATCGAAACTGCAGTTTCTGTTTTGGGGGATCCCCGAACTATCGATCGATAAGTCTTCGGTTTCCAACCGATATTCTCGTTTTTGTATTTATTGAGTTACATTATCGCAAATTTTTATTTCAAATACGCTAACAGTCCTTGTAATAAAACTAATTTCGCAGTAGCTGAAGAATCAATACAATGGATAGATACTTGTTCGTGTCAGTCTAGTTTTTATAACAACGTTGAACAAAACCCATAACAGTGCCGGCCGAATTTCTGAGAAATTGGGTGACGAAATGAAGATAATTAGCTAAATTAAAACGGCGCTCCCGAAGTATGTGCACCAAGATGGCACACAACCTGAATACTAACTTGATACACATACCATGTTGTGCGCCATTTTGGTGCACATACTTCAGCAGCTCCATTAAAACAGGTTCCTAATCATCAATATAAAACTGGGGGCATGTATTGGTCTGCCGGTGAGATTGAGCGAATAAATAAATAGTGGTAGTTCACGGGACAGTGACAACTCCGCTATAAAATCTCTATGACGAAATAACGGATTTAATAGAAATTTATCAACGAACAACGATATAATGGTCTGCCATGTCAACTATTTTGCATTTTACTTTTAAACTGAACTAAGTTACTCCAGTAGTCTCAGGAAATGTAGCCTTTAAACTCGCCCAATCTTTGCACGAAACATTCTGTTGCCAATCTCTCCTTTACATTGTATACTATGTACCTTTTCTACGTTATATGCTTGATTATTAAAAAAAAAAATTTGGGATAGCTGAGGTAAGGTTGTGACAAGTTAGAAAGTTGGTCAATAACCTAACTTATCTTAAGTTAAGATGAACACAATCAAGGGAAACTGATCAGACAATTGGTCGCGGGGAAAATGCAGGAATCAAAGCCATTAATCCTCTTAGTATCAACCTTTCCTGCAACGGGACGAGTTCGATTAATCCTACTTCTCTTCTTCTAAATGGTTATGTATTCAATGAAATAACGTGTAATCCAATACTTGAATCTTTTTATACCAACGTTTCCGAAAGAGGGAGTTTCATCGTTTGGAAAAGAAATTTTACAATGCTCTTGCTTGTAGTATTACAAACATATTTGAATTATTCTGTATTTTAGTAATGTATTACTGCACACAATATTACCTATTAAAATTTTACAAAAGTCAGAATGTGGAATGCAAACAATCACTAGCTAATATTGCATTATAGATTGGACAGCAAATGGAACTATAGTGATTATATGCATAGTGCAAAAGAATGAACAGTTTGTGGGGAGTATATCGAAAAAGTTTTGGAATAACAGATCTTTACTATCTTTTTGTGTGTTTCCTTCAACATTAACGTCTGTCGTAATCGTAGCAAAAATGCTGTTGAAAATTTCGACTCGGAACATTGTGATTCTGAAATACTAGCTTGTAGCTGGTGGAGTCGGGAATATTTAATTTTCTCATTTAACAATACGTAAACAATATCAATACCCATCGCAGCACCTCTAAGCTGAAACCCTGTCCCTTATACACACACATTGAAACGCTGATAAACTAAGTGAATTGAAAAAATTGGTATGAAAAATGCAACTGTCGCCCTCACTCTATACTCTACAGCGGGGCTACTCTGCTATTTATACCAGCGATACGTTTACAAAACTTCAAAATTTACTGTGACTCGATATTTCCAGTAAACATATTTTACAGTGTGTCTGAATATATTTCAGTCGCTCAACGGTGAAGTGAAAAGTTCACAGAAAAACGTTTCGTAGGAATCTAAGTGTAACCGCGAACGGGTGGGTGGTGCATTGTAGTTCCCGGTGGTGCATTGTAATTATTCGTTATCCAAGACAGCACTATTCGCATTGTTCCTAACGTTTAGAACTAAGTGCTAAGCGTTAGGAATACGCTCGACACCGCACCTCTGATTTCCCTGCGTGGGTTCGCAGGTTCGAACACCATGCGGAGATAGTTATGTACACGCGGATTGCTGGACTCCTCGCCGCCGTAGGGTGGTTCACGTAACCGCTAGTCGGTTGCAACTTTCTCCACCATCAAGTCCATGCTTTTGACTGAACGAGGGGCGTTGTTCGCTATATGATTAAGCCGTCTTATCGGCTTTCTTCTTCCCCTGGATAAAATATGTAAATCCTATCCTATCCTTAAGTGAAATATGAGCAAAAGCTAAACAAAAAATTCTCTAAAACTATAAATAAAGGTTATTTATTAATAAGAGAGTTTCACATATCAAACGGTAATAGTTTAATTCTCAAAAATGAAGAAGCAGATGAATCCGATTCGACTGTTCCAAAAGGCCGAATTTGGATCGGGATCCGCCAGTTGAGTAGCACTGCCCTATAGTCAGGGCTGCCAAAACGTCCTTATTTCTAAGATTTGTCCTTATTTTGACATGTGTCCTTATTTTTGTTTTATTTCAGGGGTACCGGCCAATTAGATTGGTCAATTCGAACGATTGATTTGCTAGAAATGATATTAGAAGCTTCTTGATTGCTGTTGCAAATCCTTTCTAGTGCTAAGTATGATTAGACACGGGTCGCACTGGCAGGAATACATTTTCTTTATTACATTTTGTTATCGTATTATTATGTTTCTTTATTCTTGGGTTCATATCGATAGCAGCCCCGTATAGTACTAGACTTTAGCACCCTCACGCTATTGTGTGGCATAGTCGCATATGTCAAGCTATAGTAACACCGCATTGGCTATGTTAAAGAGAAATCAAAATAAATTAAACACTCACCCCTGAATAATTGAGCAGCGAAGCACGGTGGTATATCCCAAGTTTTGTCACGTTACGAAATAGTCTGTTTCACGTAAGATATTTTCACAGTGTAATTATGAATAAACAAACAAACAACTAAAACCACTGTGAGCAAACAATACACATTGTTAAGGGTTTATGGATAAACAATCATGTGTTTTCGCCCGCAGGCGATACTGTATCTCTTCTTATTTAACTTGGTTCGACTTTAAATAAGCTAAATACGCCGTAAGCAGGGGTCGTAAATGTCTCCGATATCTCTGACTTCTGCCTACTTGGTTCCGTAGAACTATGCGCTTGCATTTTTAGCTTGAAATGTCTCACGTTGTCTCGATATCTGATAAAATCCAGTGAAATTCATGTCGGTCTTAGCTTGTCGGAGGGCGTATGCGATTCTTCTTTATTTGTGACCCAAGCCTCGTTCAACTATGTTTGTGTTCTTTATCTTTTTAATGTGTGTGCTGATTAGCGGGCACATGACATCTCTCATGTTTTAACTTTTTTAAAGGTTTTGCTCGCCCTCCAGAATTCTCCATTTTAAGTTTGTGTATATTATGGAGTTTTCAAATAAACCATCTATCTACCTGTCGGTGGAGGTTCGATTGCATCTCTTCTGTCAGTATAACATTTGCTTTTAACTGGGAGCGAGCCTTACTTTGGATCTCACCTTCTAGGCATAGTCGTTGTAATCATTGTTAAGATACCCTGACTTAGACTTTTACTAATGACTCGCAATTCATTGCTCTATCGAAATTTCGGATCTTTGTACAAAGCACCCACCATTAATACTAAAAATGTGGGATTCGAGAACCCCTCCCCCCTCCCCCACGTTTTTTAATAACAAATTAGTAATTATCTGTTAGGGTTAGAAATAATTCAAATATTCCAATTTCCAACGCAATCTTCCATTCCAAAACCCTTAACTGGAAAACTGATAATTTTCCTGTTTTGGCCGTTGACGGTTTTTTTTTTGTCGGGGGCTTTGAACAAAAGATCCAGAAGCTCCCGACAAAAATAACACCCCCGTCAAATATCAAAATAAAAGAATTAGTAATAAGTATGGTTTTGTACGAAAGGAACGAAACCCTGATTACATCTGCTACTTTCAATTTCTTCTATTATTGTTATCATTACGAGTCATTCCTCTATTGAAATTTCTACAGTCATTACCTGGCCTATTCATTTTAAAACATTCAGCGTAAATAATATCATCTTTGTCTTACCCTTCACACTGTCGTTCTCATTAATGTTATACACAAGTCGCTTTTACGCTTTTGTACAGTTTATGTAGGTTGTTATGTGTTTAGTAATAAGTATCATGGTATTATGATTGAAGTAAAGAATATTAGAAATACTGCTGCAAATAAAAAGCAAAACTCCTTTTGAAGAAATCCTAAATTCTTCTCTAGGGGTCTTCCCCTAACTAATTTGTCAAACATTGTGTCAATCCCATAGTCGGATTTTCACTTTTAAAAATAATTATCACTTTCCTTTCAAATTCTGAAGGCTGTTTTTCTTCTTCCACAATGTGTGTGTCAAAATAGAAATCAGATAGAACCTAAAACAACCTAGAACTTACAGAAATAAAAATGTATCGGAAAAATATTATTATCACGCATTTTATTCGTGATCTCATCTGACAATCAAATTTTCTGCTTTTCTGGCGACCACCCTGCTTTCTAGCAGACGTGCTATCCTATTAATTCTCTATCTTTGTCTTGTGTTTTTCTTTTCTTGTGGGCTTTGTACAAAAGACCCGAAACCCTGACTTAAGTGCATCTGCTACTTTCAATTACTTCTATTATGATTGACTCACAATTGATTGCTCTATCAAAATTTCGTTACTCATGAAGTATGTGAACCAAGATGGCGGACACCGGAACGTAGTATGTGCACCAGGTTAGGGTTAGGCCATAATTTCAGGTACAAATACCACGGTAGTCACTTGCCTACTCACCGAACTCGCAATAGAACTAAAATGAAAAAAATTGGAATAAAGTTATGGTCTGACCTTAACCTGGTACACATACTACGTTCCGGTGTCCGCCATCTTGGTTCACATACTTCGGGAGCGCCGAAAATTCCTCAGTCACTATCAGGCCTATTCATTGTGAAACATTTATCGTCAATTATATTTTTCCGTCTCACCATTCACACTGTAGTTCTCATTAACTCTCTATATTTGCTATTAATAAATCCAATATAAGGCGCGTTCAACTCACACACGACCCTTTTACGTCTTTCTTGAACGTCGTAACGACGGTAATATAAATCGGTCAACCAAATGTATCGGTATTACGTTTAAAACACACACAATAAGCGTTAGAACACTCGTACACATTTATACATCGTTTAGAGATTGTTCCGGCAACGTATACCTCGCTCTCTAAAAGCTTATGAACATGAACGTTGCATCTCTAAACCATACTATCGAGAGAAAACGGAAAATTAACTGGCATGTTACTGTAAATGAAAATTAAATTGATGATCACATCTAATCCACGCCGCGAGTAGAATACGAATAAGGAATTGGAATGTTCCTGTAATTTAAAATATCCTTTTAAAAGAGTCAAATGATATTCTTCTATCTATGAACCACTGGAATATGGCTGAAGACTCAGCCTTGATCAAAGTTACGAGCGACCATTAAAGTATGTTCCCCAGCTTTTGATTTTAGGAAGGGGGTTCTAAATTTAGAGAGGTGGGTGCAGGGGGGTGTTTCTAAATTCAGGGGTGGTAAATATACTACTATTCAAGATAAAACTCTTTCAGACTCAGACAAATGTGTTACGTATTTGCCTGATCATTAGCAATTAGCATATAAGCCACGTTATCGATATCCAAAAGCGATTGTATTCAAGTTGTGAAAGTGTTATGTCACATCTCAAAATTATGGGGGGGGGGGGGGGGGGGGTGTTTGCAATGTTTCTTGTGTTCAATCTAGGGGGGGGGGGGGGGGGTACACTGATGGAAATAAAATAGGAAACTGCAACTTGAAAATGTTCAAGTCAGTGCAGTCAGAAAATTAGAGAACAATCTTCTTAATTTCTCAGTGAGTGGCCGTGACAAATCTTTGAGCAAATTTCCATAAAAAATAGCTATTTGGCAAATAGCTGCCATGGAAATCATTCACGGCTTTCCTCAGTTGAATAGTTACGGTATAGGCAAAGGGTGTACATCCGCCAAAAAAATAAAATCTAATATATACTGCTTTTAATACTGATAAAGTACAGTTATACTAACCAATTTTGATCACAGTGTATGGATAATCACCGGCGCCTCTGGATAAGGTTTATTACAACACGCGGAAACGAGAGACGTTCAAATTAGTGTTGTTTACGATGTTGTTTGAGTTACTGTCCATCATAACTTAGATAATTAGGTTGAACTAGCGTTCGGTGAACTATAAACAAGACCGGTAAAATGTGTGTTTATTTTGGTGTCGCTTTCTAAATTTAGAGTGAACATTGAAGACGTTAGATTCGCTGTTCGGGATCGGTTTTCCGATTATGTGTTAATCGCAATCCAACGCTTTTGTTGGTATCGCAGTATAGTTTTTTTTTATGTGGTCACAATTTGTGACTTGTGAAGATTGGAGTCAAGATTTCAGACTTTGCATTCGGAATTATTCGGAATACCTTTTTTAATTTCAAAATTTGCGACTTACCAGAGTCGGAGTCGAAAATCAAGACTCCATTATCGATATTTTAACCGGAGCTGACGCTTATCACCGGCGATAAAGCATATTCATTTTAACATCTGAAATTTCTGTTGGAGTCGAAGTCGTTTTTATATTGAACTGTTGCCTGGGGAACTAAACAAAAATCTCCTAAATGCGTGTTTATTTTAACTCTGCGATTTTTTGTTGGTAAAATTGTCATTTTACAAGTAGCCGGTGTCAAAAATTGAAATTTGCGGACGGCGACTTGAATCCGTGTCGACTGACTGTTTCTGTTCACACTGCTCAATTCAGGACTTACCGGTGAATCTTGTTCATTCCAGTAAATCCATTTAATGTGACTCTTGTCAGCACTCAATTTTTCCTATCAAGCATGAAATTCCAACCCGACAGTTTATGTTTAAAAAGGCGCTCACGTAGGTAAAATTACATAATGTGTTCTGCTCTTATCGCTGTGTTTGCCTGGTGTCTCTATTACTGCAAGGCCAGGTATTAGCCGCATTGTGTAATTGGTTCAACAAAAAAAGCCCACTGGTCTAGAACAGGGTGGTCCAAGATTGGCAGCTCCACGGGCCACAAAATTACTTTTGCATTGTTCGCGGACGACGATAGTGCCAAGAACTTCGCTTGTTTAATCAAGCGGCGGGCCACGTGTGGCCCGCGGGCCTGGGTTTGGACCACCCTGGTCGAGAATAACAATACAGATAAAAAAAAATTCTATTTAATAATCATCCATATTATAGTCATTGTGCTGAAATTAAAGACATTGAAACATAATTCATATAATTATATTTCTAACAAATAAACATTTAGTTACGATAAAGAACTCTCTTTATCACTCATCATAAAATGCCATACATAGTTTTCGTTTTTATTATAGCTATTCAACGCCGTAATAATTATTTATCGGTGACAAAACCAAAGACCACGACAGTGGTGATAATTAAATGATTTGTTAATTTGATTCTCTAATTGAAATCGGAAATTATATCTTTGTTTATGACATCATTATGAGGTGTTAGATATTATAGCAAATCAAATAGTGGAACGATGCTCAAATATATGGACACGAAGTCCAAAACAAAGTACTTTTCGTGGTACTCCCGAAGTATGTGAATCCACGATGACGGACACCGGAACTTAGTATGTGTACCAGGTTAGGGTTAGGCCATAATTTTATTCCAATTTTCCCTGTTTTAGTTCTGTTACGAGTTCGGGGACTAGCCAAGTGACTCTCGTGGTATTGTACCCGAAATCATGGCCGAATCTTAACCTGGTACACATACTACGCCCCGGTGTCCGCCATATTTGTTCACATATTTTGGGAGTACTATTTTCGTACCTACCGGTATCAATTAATCTCCGGGTCTCGCGTATCGTCGCGTCAAATCGGAAGCAGCCGTCACGCTTAGCGGGTTCAAAACCGCA